GTGTAATTTATTTTTATTTTATAATAAATTTATATCAGATATAAAAATAAAAAAATTGATGTAATGCTGAGAAATTTAAAGAATTCAGATAATTTATTATAATTTTATAAGACCCCTCGTCAAAATCATTTAACAAAAGCCACCTATTATATATAAAAAACTTCATGTAGTGCTAAGAAATTTAAATAAATCATTTTATTTTATTTTTTAAATTGTTTATATAATAAATTGTATAATAATCTAAATTTTAATAAAATTATATAACTTTTATTTTCAATTAAAAGAAAATTTTAATTTTTGATAAAGAAAATAAAACTTTAATTGTACATGACTAAACAATATAATGTTTACGTATTTCTTTTTAATTGATTATTATGTAGGTTGTAAATTTTGAGAGAAAACAGTGTTTAAGTTAGTGAAATTTATTAATTTATTGGTTTTAAAAATAAAATGTAATAGAAAATATAGGAGAAATGTAGGAGGTTCAAATAGGAATAATATAGTCTTTTTAAATTTATATTTGAATATTTGATCCTTTTAAATAATTTTAATTTTTATGATCCTCTCCCATAAATATCACTCCCTATTAGTCCTTTTTTCTAATTCTCCCCATAATTATATGCATATATAATATTATATAAGAAGGCCTCGTAGCTAGTAGCTAGTAATAAAGCTAATTTAGAAAGTCTATGGAGTGGATACCCTGATTTCATCACCAAATTTATGCATACACATATTTATAAGGGAATGAATTTATAATAATTCTAACTTCGAAGATGATAACATCATACTGTATGGAGTTTTTAATAAAATAACTCAGCTCAAAAAAAAAAAAAAATAACACCACACATATGGCTACAAATGGTTTGAAAACATGCCGGTAAAAAAAATGGTTTGAAAACATACTGAAATTTTTTAGAGGATCATTTTTATTTTTTTATTTTTTCAGATCTTTTTATTAGGCCCAAGACTCAATCAGCTTTCTAAAAACCTTTTCATTTTCTGCTTTAATTCCGAATTTCAAGTCAGCTCAATCAAGAAAATGGTTTTCTAGCTAGCCCAAACCGAGTCATTAGTTTGGTTAACAATTTCATTCACCAAACTGTCCAATCCCATCCGATTTTTTAATTATAATTTGTAATAGTTTTTCAGTCATGGGATTTATTTTTTTTCAATTCATTTGAGTCTATAGGAATAACTCCCACTACATTTTAGTTTCCATAAAAATGTTAAATATTAAAGTCTTCATTAAAAAAATTCCAATTAGAGCTTTATAGTATTTAAGATTAACTTAGCTCGTATAAGTATCCAATATTATTAATATTATAAATAAAAATGAAAAATCTAGCAACGCTAGTTCTCATATTGAAGTCCCACAATAATCAAGTTTATATTAGCAAGAAATATTAGACAGAGATATTGGATAGTTGTAAAAAAATTTTAAAAAAGGAAAAATTTCAGGAAAAGCTCTTGGAATATAAAAAATTTCAGATTGGATTCTGGAATTGTGTAAATGACAAAAAGGGTCAATGACCCAATCTGTCATTCATAAAATTAGAAGGAATTGATAACTTTCTTTTGGCTAAGCAAAAGTGAGTAGTTGTTCTCTAAACAAATCTAGGTAACACGTATACTGTTCTAGTGATTACATAATTAGTTATGGTTAATAACAAAGTACCTGATTACAAAAAAATAAGTAGTTATTCTCTACACGAATCTAAGTAACGCTTACACTGTTCTAGTGATTACATGATTAATTGTAGTTAATAACAAGGTAACTGACTATGAAAAAGTGAGTATGAAAAAGTGATTAGTTATTCTCTGCACGAATCTATTTAACGCTTAAATCCTTATAGTGATTCCTTAAATCATTGTAGTGAATGAATACAAATTAGGACAAAGTTGTCAATTCTTTTTAATTTTACAAATGACAGATTGTGTTATTGACTTTTTTTGTCATTTACACAATTTCAGGTCCTAATCTGAAATTTTTTATAATCTAAGAGTTTTTTTTGTTTTGGGATTTTCCCTTAAAAAAATGGTGGGCACACGGTACAATACAAACAAATATAGCTGTCCGTGTTTCGTTTCCCAAACAACCAACCCACAAATCTCACTCCCATATCCCCACTGTGCTCCACTCTTTCACGTTTCCTTCTCTTTTTTACCATGCCGCGGCTTCGTGAAAAATAACACAATAATTAATTTGACTTTCTGTCTTTCCTCCTTTTTTTTTTTTTTTTTACCACATAAACTTACTCATTCCAACTGCCCGGAAAGCAGCAAAACTTCTAAGATTGAATTTCTTCTCACATAGATAGATATAGCTTGAATATATATATATATAAGAATTATTTTTTAAAAAACAAATAATTGAGAAAAATAGAGATAAAGTGTAGAAAAATAATAGTTGTGTTGAACATGAGTAATGGAACTGCACAAATTTTGGAATGGACTTGATTTCTTTTTGGTTAAGATGTTTTTTCTCTAAAAGTATTCATTAAGAAGTTACAGGTAGAAGATTTATTTTTATTCATTTTACTCAATGTTTAGAAATATTTAAAAAAACAGTGTTACTTTTTTCATTAAAAATTACTGTTTATAATAGAAGGGTGAAATTACTCATTTTTTAACCTATTAACTCAAAAAGTGGTTTTAAGTACTTCGTGGATATTTTTAAGATGAAAATTAACTTAATCCAACCTGGGTAGTACAAAGGTAATGAAAGGGAGAGAAAGAGAGAAATTTTTTTAATAAATTTAATTTTGAAAAAATTGATGAAGTAAGTCAAAAGTTTTTAATTAATTTTTTCTTGTTTTTTTATCTTGCATATTTTCTCATACATAATATATGGCAAGGAAAATTCAATAAAAAACAAAGAAGACACGAAGTTTTTTCTTGTTGCGTAATAAGTAAGTGGGACGAAAGAGGACAAAACACGTGGCCGACATGCATACGAGAGTTGGTCCCACAAATGGGGCAATAGAAGAAGAATATCCCAAGATTTAGTGGGGGGAAGCATGATGGCGGATGCACACCAGATCTTTCCCCTATGCTCCCCGTGGGGCTCACCGTCATCCCTACCCCAGCTTCGCCTCCCCCACCCCCCTCTCTATTGCGTTGCATGCTTTTTCTCGTGCAATCATTCTCTACCATTTCTCAAGTTACCCCAATTCTCCATCATCGCATTAAATAATTTATTTTCCAAAAAAAAAAAAACCAATGGGTAGGGATTGTGATTGTTTGGTTTTCTATTTCCAAAACTATTTTCTTAAAATAAAAAAAATATATTTGCAAATGTATTTTTAGTAATGTGTTCTAGAAAAAGGTAAAACAAAAATAAAATTTATTCTGAAAAATTAAAAAAATCAGGATCTTTTTTTTTGATGGTATGATAATTTTTGTCCTCAAAAATTAGAGAAGAGGGAGAAAATATAATATTTTCATTAATAATAATCATATTAGTAAAACAAGCTATTTTTTCATCTTTTACTTCACTAATTTAAATAAGGTTTTTGAAATAACGATTTGAGCAGATTTTTAATTTTTTTACAAATTTTTTTTTTGAAAAATTACTCTATAAAACTATCTTAAGATCATAAAATAGATAATAAAACCAAGTAAACCCTTATTTTATACTTTTGCTATTCCTATTTTCCTGTTCCATTTTCGTTTTGTTCCCTAAACATGTCTTGTTCCATATTTAAAGATATAATTATTGCTTATTTCTGGTAATAATTTTGGTACATGGAGAACATTAAATGGGGGTAGTTCATATTTAAAATTGTATATGGCATGAAAGAAAAGTAAAACTGAAAAGGAATAATAGGTGGATTTTCCTTTCGTATTGCCATGACCTATTTTCTTTACCAAGACAAGTAAATTTAGAACTTGTAAAAATTAATGAAATTGGGTGATTTTTATGTAAGTACCAAATGAAATGTCTATTTTTTTAAATTTTTTTTTATATAACTCAGAGTATTCTCAAAGTCATTTTGATTAAAATTAAAATATATATTGGCCTCTCAATAAATTCACTTTTCATGATCTTATATTTTCTACCTTACAGAATGAAACTACTTACCATATCAACTAACAATTTATTAATAATAAAATGTTTATTTAACTGTGAAGAGTTGGAATATGTTTTGATTGTCTTTTGTTAAATTTATCCATTATTAAATTATATTGAAAATGTGGAACAATTAAACTGAAGGTTTATATTTAAGCCAAATTTCAAATTTGTTATACTATATTCGTTTTTAGCTCACAAAAATCAACAAAACCATGCTTTGTGTTTTGATTCTATAAGGTGAAACGCCGACTTAATTGCAAATGGATGGTTGACATGAATTGTTTAGTTATTTTTGATAAATTCAAATCCAATGATAATAAAATGTGATTTCAATATATAATTTCCAACCGCGAAGGAACACGACTAATTTGGATCCATTAATCACACAACTTCTTAATACGTGACCCTTTCTTTCTCTGTCATATTTGAATACATCAAGGGGCGAAGAAAGAGGTTTTCGTTTACTTGTTAATTTTTGAATGGCTTCCTCTTCTTTACCTTTCCCCTTTTCCTTTTCTTCATTCTTTCTTTTATTTCTCTTCTGTTCTGTTCCGTTTCCCTTTCAAGCTGCTTACCAATTATCATCCATCATCATGCCTTGCTTTTGATGCATTACTATGTTGACTAATCCCAACGAACCACTCTCTCTCCCTTTCTCTCACCTTTGCTTTCCTGCTCCCCAAACACTCTCGCTTGGTCTCTCTTTGGCTGGTTCCAAACGAAACAAATTAACCCATTATTCGTCTTTCTCAAGATTACATGAATGAAACTAATAAAGCACTCATTCTTACTCATCTTCTCTGCTTCTTTTACGTAGAGATTTATATGCTTGGTTCTGAAGTTTGGCCTCCGTATCCACAGCTCGGTGCTTCTCCTTCTTCATCTTCTTCCTTCAATTTGAACAGTTTGCGAAATGACGCAGCGTTTTGCGCTCTGAACGTTTCATCCGAGTAAGATTCAATTCAGCCATCTGAGTTTCATGTCTTGGGCATGTTCTCTGTTCTTGTATCTGTGTTTTCTCTTGTTAGTTTTTCCAATTCTTTAAACAATTTTTTTCTGCTTTCAATTAGTTTCTTAGATGTCTGATGCAATGCCTGATTCTGTGATGAGTAATTTGATTGAAGCATTCTCATTGACTTGTTGAACAATTAAAAGCATAAGATAGCTTTTTTACCGGATGTACCCCCCCCCAAAAAAAAAAAAAGAAAACAAGAAAAAACGTGTGGAAAATAACTCAGTGTAGGTTTTACTTTGAAAAATCCAAAAGGATAGGGACAAAAAGGAAATGATAAATCCTCCTTGTGGGATGAGCAGAAGTTGACCTGTAGTGAATAACTTTATCAGTTTCAGAAGACGATGGCCACGGCCACATAGGCCAAATGCCTTGCTGGATGCCAATTAGTAATCAGGAGATGGATGCCAATGATACTGTGTAGAGAAAAGATACTCTGACAGTAGTCATAATCATTTTCTGCAGTTTGATGATGTTCATGGAATTGGAGTCTGTTGGGACTAATTCTAAGAAATAGAATGCTTGTGAGGATTTTTGTTCCAAGAAGCATTAGTTCTTCAAAAAAAGAGTCCTGTTATATTTAGCACTTATATGAAGCAAAGCACTTCAATTTGTACTAAGATATTTTATTCTGTTAGATTCTTTTGTGTTGTGTCATTGTATTTATATCATATGATGTCTCCTTCAGTGTTATTATCGGTGCTTCTTAGATTCTGATACAACTTATTTAGATAAATAATTATGAATGGATTTCTTCTGTCTGATTGAAAGCAATGGGCCGTGCCATTTATTATATATCACCTCATTTCTAAACAGGAGTCAAATTAGCACCAAAACCATGCCTAGCGGCCTTATTTCCTGGCACAAATGCTGAAATTTTTAGTTTATAATATGCTAAATGAAGGTGAACCATGAGAACTACATATTTGCATTCAGTAAAAAGCAGTGAGAATGACTTTGCAATCAGGTCTCAAACTTAATTATGAATCATTTTCGCATTCAGTTAAGAAGCTTATGGTAACACATTCTTGTTATTTGTTCATGATGAATCATTTTCATATTCAGTCAAGACCTGTTTGGTAACACATCTTTCTTATTTGCTAATGATGAGTCATTTTCGCATTCACCTAATAGTTGTTTGGTAACACATCTTTGTTATTGTTTTTGCTTGGTGCATAATATGGAATCCAAGGCATTTTGTTAACAATTGCATTCTGTATGCTGACATATCTGCTTTGGATTTATGCACCCTTTTGGTTTTACTTGTCTCACATTTTATGGTTTCCAACTTTCAGGAATATTATGAAATGATTTTGCACTTTTGGCATAGCTGAAAATGCAGGGCCTTACAAATAAGTTTAATTAGTGATTGCCAAAAATCAAAGTAATTGATAATTTCTAAAGACTAATGAGCTTATCTCATAGGTACAAAATAATAGCTTGAGTTGAGTTAGCTAAGAAATCATCAAATTCTGAAATTCTTCAGTTACTGCCAGGAACTGGAGCAAGAGGCAGAATGCTCTGAAGTCTGATGTAAGACAATAAGAGCATTCTGCATCCACTTAGCTCAGTCAACTTCACTATTCAGCTTTCAGGTTTTATTCAAGTAACTTCAAAAACATAGCAACAGACATTTGCGTTACATCTTTCCAAGGTGTTAAGCAGTTGCTATTCTATAGACTATTTCATCATCCTCTTTCTCAGTGCATGATAGAATATACTGGTTTAGTTTATTATAGTTTTTCATTGATCTGTAGGTGAGGTCACTTTCGTCTACATGCTGAAGAACCCTCAAGAGTTCTATACACCGAAATGAGAATGACAAAGGCTTTATTGAATGAAACTTGAGGTAAGGCTCTCATGCAGACTGTTCTTTCACCATTATTCTTTATATTTAGTGAGCTTTCCTTATACGCAATTGAGGATGATGAAGACAAAATCCTTCTCTCATCTTTCCTCCCTCTTTTTTATTTTTTGATTCTCTTTCTTTGTTATTGTTTTCTTTTCTTTTCTTTTTCCTTTCCTTGTTTTTTTGTAGACTTATGTTATCTAAATTTTTAGTAGAATTGGCAGCTGGCACATGTTAATCTGTCTTCTGCTGCTAATCAGATGATCCTTGTTCCAGTTTTCTTCATGTTACGTGTATTAACTAGTTAGTCATTGCTGACAAGGCATGAGCTGATTAGGTCCTATATTTAGACCCTAGTGTGTTTTGATTGGCTCGGTTTGCAAAAGTTAGCTTTTATGCATAACACTTCACCTGCTGAAATGTTCTGTAAACACACTCTCTCTTCCCAAGCTCTTCCCAAAAATAATGGTTTTCCATTTAAGTTTCATTATTTCCTTGCAAAAGTTTTTTCCGCCTTTATACTTTAGATATTTCATACTGATGCATTGCAGTTTTCTCCCATAGCAGTACTCAATCAACTGATCAAGGTATCAGATACTTATTTCATGAAATATGTTGTCACTTGCAAGGTACAAGCCATCCTTTTTCAATCGGGCTTTTGAAGTAGGGACTTTTACTGACTATTGGGTATAGACCAAAACAATCAACAATGAAGTTTATGAAACTTGGAACAAGGCCCGATACCTTCTACTCAGAACAAGCCACTAGGTACTGACAGTAATCCTTTTCTAAGATGCTTCACACAGTCTTTTTCTTCCCTTGATATGAAAAATAAACACGAATTCTGATTATGCAGGACTCTGGTTTCAGATATACCTTCAGACCTTGTGATTCAAGTCAATAATATCACTTTTCTACTGCACAAGGTACACATGAAAGGGAGTCACGGTTATATTGGTCAGAACTACTCTTTTTATTGGAGAAAAAATATAATTATGATGTTGGGGGGGGGGGGGGGGAATAGAGAGAGACCAAAATTAAGTCTTTGTTCATGTTCAATTCTACTTTTGTTTGCTGCAGTTTCCACTTCTTCCAAAATGTGGCCTCCTGCAGAGGCTTTGCTCTGATTCTAGTGATTCTGAGTCTATCTCTATAGAGCTTCACGATATTCCTGGAGGGGAAGAAGCTTTTGAACTCTGTGCTAAGTTTTGCTATGGAATTTCAATAAATATAAGTGCTCACAACATCGTACCTGCACTCTGTGCCGCCAAGTTCCTCCGGATGACTGACTCCATTGAGAAGGGAAACTTTGTTGGTAAACTTGAGGCTTTCCTGAATTCCTGCGTACTTGAAGGTTGGAAGGACTCCATTGTGACTTTGCAGACCACAGCTAAGTTACAAGATTGGTCTGAGAATGTTGGTATAGTCAGAAAGTGCATTGATTCAATTATTGAGAAAGTTCTCACGCCCCCACAACAGGTCTAAGGATTTGGCCCTTTCTACTTCGTCAAATTTCTAAAATTTCCGTAAATATGTTTAAATAGATACTTTCTATAAAAGATAGATAAACCAAACAAATCATAAATATACAATTATGTCATATGTGAGTCATACTAAATGCTGCACATAAGATACTTGTATGACTTTTCACGAGTGACTAGATCTATTGAACGTTGGGCAAGTTTTCTCAAAATACTAGAGCGGGCCTTGGACATGCGTGGATTTTGAGATGAATCACATTATTCATGGCGTGTGATTAGTGCATTTTCTTACAACTTTTATAGATATTAATTTTTAATTGTTATGCCTGTGGACATTTGCTGAATAAATGAAGATCCTCATGTACAGGTCAAATGGTCCTACACTTACACCAGGCCCGGGTACAAGAAAAAACAGAACCCCGGTGTCCCAAAGGATTGGTGGACGGAGGATGTTTCTGATCTTGAGATAGACCTTTTCCGATGTATAATCATGGCTATCAGATCGGCATATGTGCTACCACCACCACTTATAGGTGAAGCCTTGCATGTCTATGCCTGTAGGTGGCTCCCAGGGATCACAAAGCTTAGGAGTTCAACAAGTTCAGCTTCTCAGACAGAAGAATCCAAGGAAAGAAATGGAAGGATTCTTGAAACAATTGTAGGCATGATTCCGGCAGATAGAGGGTCAGTTTCAGTTGGCTTCTTGTTAAGACTTCTCAGAGTTGCAAATTTTCTTGGGGTCTCCCCAATGACGAAGACTGAACTAATAAAGAGAGCCAGCCTACAATTTGAGGAGGCAACAGTGAGTGATCTGCTTTACCCTTCAACATCACTTTCTGACCATCACTTTTATGATATAGACATAGTTCTAGCAGTGCTGGAAAGTTACTTGAAGCTTTGGAAAAGAATGGCTCCTGGTGCAGTAGAGAGCAGCAACTTTTTAAGGTCAATTAGAAGTGTCAGCAAGCTCATTGATTCATATCTTCAAGTGATTGCAAGGGATCATAATATGACGGTGTCAAAATTTGTTTCTCTTGCTGAAACTGTACCCGATGTTGCCCGAGCGGAACATGATGATCTGTACAAGGCCATTAACATCTATCTCAAGGTGAAGTATTTATATTACACCTGCATTGACATAAAATTTTGGAACCTTCTACGTCTAATTCTTATCTTCTAGAAAAATACCTAAGAAACACTGCCTTTTTTGCATTTTTTCAATCCCTCTCTTTAAAATCACTATTTTCAAAATTTCTATAACAAAGGAATAGATTAGCAGCATATAGTTAAATCCTTCAACAATTGCTTTTAGCAAATATTTGATATATTATTTGTATTTTTGTCATTTGATAGAGGTTATTACTGTCTGAAAAATTTTCTTCTCTGTTGCTTCCCAGAAACCAGAAGGCAGCGAGAGAGAGAGAGAGAGAGAGAGAGAGAGAGAGAGTCCTGCCATCATTTGTTTTGGTCAAGAGTAGAAGCTATTCTTTTCTTTCAAAACGATCTTTTCCTCTTCCCCAGCCCCTTCAAACACACACCAAAATAATTCTTATCCATTAATATAACTTTTTCATTGTACTTAATAACTGTATATAATCAGTTTCATATTGAGTTTAGCAAGACAATATGGTACATTTGTAGTAGAAGTTTCATCGCCTTACACTATTTTAATGACATTATTAACAGGAGCATCCTGACCTGAGCAAGGCCGACAAGAAGCGCCTGTGTCGTATTCTAGACTGCCAGAAACTGTCCCCGGAAGTCCGAGCTCATGCTGTGAAAAACGAGCTTCTTCCTTTGAGAACGGTTGTGCAGCTGCTCTACTTTGAACAAGAAAAAGACTCCTCCATGTCTACCACTAGCCACCATAAAATGCCAAAACCTCACGAGCTTCTTCTTGGAGCCAAAAAGAGGCCACAAGTCAGAGAGAGCAACGGGAAGCAATATTCTATAGGCCCAGATAAAGAACTCAAGAGAGAAGAAGACACAAGAAGCGTATCTCTTCCTGTAACCAGAGAAAAAGATCGACCCAAAATTAAAAGATCAGGCAGTAAGTTGCCAGAGGAACTAGAAAGGAAGATGGTTATAAAAGAGGTTGAAGAAACGGGATCAGAGAGGGGAATGGAAGTGAAAGAAGAAAGTATACCAGGTGGTAGCAGGTTGAACTTGGATCCTAAGAAAAGCATGAGAAGGGCACGAAGTAAGTCAGAGTATGGCCGTGAAAAAGGAAGATAGAGAGAAATATATATCTTAGACACAACATCTGTTTAATTACTTTTATATGTGAACTTAGTAATTTCAATTCTTATTATTTTCTTTTTCCAGTGACATAAATGTTGTACTACAAGTACAAGCAGATAAATATTTGCACTTTACTGTTTCACGGTAAAGAGTTGCGATTATTAGGAAATATTTGAGAAATTTTTGTTGTATTTTATCTATTGAAGAGGTCGATACTGCATTTGGAATTGGAATATTCTGAGAGTCACATTTTCCACGACATTGCAATTGTAATATACGACCTTCTGTCTTCGGTCTTAATATAAGAGTTAGTTGGAGATTTGATTTAGTCTTAAATATAAAAATTCAATCTATTTTGCCTTTCCAAATTTGTAATTTACTGTTCCTATTGATTATACATGTCAAGGGTTTCTGTCCAAAAAAGGCATTTCACAAAAAGCAACTCATATCTGTGGCAAATAATTAACTTACTGATTTTCTTTATCTAATCAAATTAGTTAGGTAATTCTTATATTAAGGATCAGATATAGTATCATGATATCCCCACTGCTAAATTGGGAGAGAAGAGATTTTTTTTTTCTTTCTTGTTTTTTAGATCATCATGTAGTGTCTGTTACTTTCTCAATAGTCACTGATTGTCATATAACTCCTTTTTCTGAGGAAAGCTCTTTGAAGTAATCTAGCATTGATCTGAACCTTCGGAATTGACTCAGTTTAATAGTGTCCATTTAATTTTTATATATGTTTATAATTTCATATAACATTTAAAATATCGCTTGTCCGGGTGGTAACATCTCGGGAAACTGAATTTTCAAGTGCTTCAAAATTTTTGCGGTCATATGAAAACACTGAACAATCTGAAAGAATCATATTCCCATTTGTGTTCCTTGCATATTCCTCAATGGGGTATTCAATGGATGCATATACATTTAATCAGTAAATGAGCCCTCTTTTTCTTTTCTTTTTTTCCCTCTTTTTTTTTTGACACACCAAAATTGGATTTCATGAGCAGGTTTGAATAGTTGCACTAGAAATAGGAACTAGCCATATGTCCAATCCAGAGCATCCTCAGAACTGGTAAAAAAGTGAACAGGCAGGAAACTAGCCTAAAACCGGTCTTGAACCGATCTATGATGAACAATAAATATTTTTATTGTACCACTTTGGTCATAAATATAAGTCATTTATAGGAAAAAATTTTGGTCCAACATTTAAGTTACTTATAATATACTTAATGTTTGTTTTCCAATTTTACTCTTATTTAATCATCATTGGAAAGAGAAAAAAAAAAGGAAGATATATAAGAATGACTTGTCAATTTGTTAATGTAAAGAGAGGAAATTTTAATAAGGGTAAAATTAAAAATTTATTAATTTAAATATTTCTTGGTATGCAAAAAATGTGATGGGCAACTTATATTAAGAACCAGAGTGATAATGATGTGATCTACTGTAAACTTAGTATGTATGACAAGAATCTGGATAAAAATTATCTAATGTTCTTATTTTTCATACGTTTTTTTTAAAATTATATCATAGTTCAATAGTCCAACTGATGAACCTTGAACCAATGGCTTGGTTAGCTCAATGCTATGTTTAATTATGAAACCATCGTTTTTAACCGCTGCTCATAGAATATTAATGTAAAAAATTTTCAGCGTCTAAAATTTCTTGTTCATCCTTCCCCTTTTGAACTTCTATAATTTATTGTGTCTGAATTATTTAGTTTATTATGCTAGAAAGGCTGGTCACCAAAAAGGAGGCGAATAGAGCGATGCAAAATTTTTACAATTTAAATGTAAACACAGAGTGAGTTGAGAAACATGTCCATGACAACGAAAAAAATCAGAAGCTAGAGGTGAAGTTTAAGGTTGTGTTCGGGATCACGCTGATGAGCCTCAACAAGCTGTAAAAAGTAGCTACAAACCTAAAATACATGTTTAGATGGGTGCTAACAGTAAATGGCTTATGCTTTCTGGTAAAAAAAAAAAAAGGCTTATGCTTTGAAGTGATTTTTTTCCCAACAATGCCTTTTGTTGCTTTTGTCTTTTGCATTTCACGTTAGACAAAAAAGTAGGGTCCAGATGGGTGAGTGAAAGGCTGCTTTTACTCATCTCCTAGAGTTCATTTCAAGATTAATAAAATCTTTTTTAAAAATTTAATTGGTGAGAAGTAACTTATAAATTTTTACACATATTGAGTGCGAATTTTATACACAAAGTACTTATATTCTGATTTAGATAATTCTCACTAATTATATTTTCAATAGGGGGATTTTTTTCCCGATTTTTTCCTAAATTTAAATATTTTAGTATTTTTAAATTTTTTTGAATAATAACTATGTAAACAGAGTAAAATTAAAGTATTTAATTAAGAGAAACACATAGGCACCAAATTAAAAATTGAGCAAAAATACAAGCATCTGCAAAATGGTTTTCTCTTCATTTTTATAATTTTTAATTTTAATATTCCTCTTAAAATTAATACATAATGTGCATATACTATATATACATTATTTAATAAAACTATTTCCTTTTAAATCATTTTATATTCAAACTTACTTTTATATTAATAATCTAAATAAGTTTTCGCTTGTCAAATTGATTTTTTTTAACAAAAGTCAATCCAAACATGAATTAAATTACACTAATTGACTTTTCTTTTTGTATAATTCAAAGTATGCTCAAGTCACTTTTAACTTGAAATTAATTTTTGTCAAGTCGGGAGTACCACATCTCACATTTTTGGCTACTAAGAGAGAAATTTAAAACTGACTAAAGGCTAGATAGGATAATAGAGACATAGATGAGACATCTTTTGAGATAAAATTCTAGTAGGAACTAAATTGTAAATTTGAAAAACTTCGTTCTAAAAAATGCATTTTTGGAAGGTGTGCTCGAAATTAACAGAAAATAAGAAAAAAATTGTATAAACTAGAATTTGAGGCCTAAAAGGTGAAAATTTGATAAAAATAATTTGTGATACGAAAAATGTAATACCTTAACTTTAGACCATGCATGCGGCCAAAACATGATAATTGGAATAACTTCGCATAATCACATCTCATTAAACTAGGAAAAACAGATTTTGAAAAATTACTTAGGTTACTGTTCATTTTATAACTCTAAAAATATTGTCAACTTTGAAAATTCATAATTAATTCTAGAAAAATTGAAATGAGGTGGTTCTAAGTTTTATTTGAAGCTCATTCAATTCCTTATGGAGGAAAAATAATCATCGGTCAATTACTAAATCGTATGAGGCTTCATTTTCTTCCAAAAAATCACTATTCATTTGGTCTATTTTTATTTTTCAACATTTTACCTTAACTTCAAAAGTTCATATCTTTTCATACAAAACTCCAATTTTGGCAATCTACTACTTCATTTGAAGCTTAAAATATGATCCATAAGGCCACCAAATTTCATATCCAGATTCTATCATTTGCTCATAAAAGTTGCAGTCCCAAAATTAGGTTTTACAAGCTATTTTATCTCATTTTATTTCCCTAACATGTGAAATTTGATTTCTAGCTTTCATTCTTACTAAAATCCATTCATACAATCATGGATACTATATCATAATACCTCCCAAGGAGTGGGAGCAACCATCCATACAAGCATTGATCAATACACAAACATTACATAATCCATATAATTCATTATACAAAACATATAAAACTTCATAATATTGCATGCAAGATTCCTTATCAAGCTTCCAAACTCTTTCTTTTGTCCCTTTATGAGCCATCTCCTGGGAGGATCAATTGTATATAAAAAAAGTGAGATTTGAAAGAAATCTCAATGGCATAAAACAACAATTATAGTACTAAAAATGTCAAATTATTCATCCTGTACATAATCAAATCTTTTCACATATTTGTTCACATTTTCATGCAATGGAAAGGGAACATAACATCATCTCATTAATATCTTAACTACACACATTGCCAAGGCATAAATGCAAGGACTTAAATACATTTCATCACACATAACCACATCTGGCATAATATACATAGCAAAACAACCAATATAAATCAATACTAAAATTATAAGTTCATGCTACCCCTTATCAAGATTAACTCCTTGATCCTCTTAGCTTGCTCTTGAGCCTCCTCTTGCTCAATTCCAATGTCTATTAATCACATAACAATGGCATTCCACATTACTAAAACAATTTATCAAATACCTAACTTAAAACCCTAACTAATAATCCTTAAATTTTGGGCTTTTGCATTATCTTTTCTGACATAATTCTCTTAGTAGCCAGATGGTGGGAAGAAATTGGATTTTTATAAAACTAAGCTTAAGTTTTAACAAGAATCAAACTCTAACCCTATAATCTTAGCTCGGCTGAATGGTATACCAAATTGTCACAAATTATGGTTCTTCTAAAAACCAAGTTAAAACATAAATTTCGAACCATTCTCTACCCTTTAATTTGTATACCATAAATAATTCATTTCTCAGTGTATGAAAACTTGGATAGCAACTAGACTTAGGGTTTCAAGCTTTCAACTTCCAACAAAACCCTATATAGAACCAACAATTCATATGGCATCATAAGTTGGATAAGATTGATGATCTTACCTTGATTAAGTGCTTAATTTCACCTAGATTTTCCCTTATTCTTCTCTTCTTCCTTCTTCCTCCTTGCTTGGCCGAAACTTTCCTTTCTTTTTGCTCTTGAGTTGACTAAAAATTTTAGCCTAAAGTGAAACATTCTTCCTTAAACCCTCTTTAGTACATGTTTGGAAGTGTTACAGTTCAAGCTATTTACGAAACAAACCCGTAGATTGAAAACTTGCTTACTAGTTAATGGGTTTCTGTTCACTAAAAATTCTAGATTTTTGGTCCAAATTTGATAATTCATAACTAATTCTAGAAAAATTATATTAAGGTGATTTGAAATTCTATTTGAAGTTATTTCAATTTTCTATAGGGAAAAAATTTAAATCTGGCCTTACCCCATGCCAATTTGTATAGTGTATTCGTGAAAATTTTGCTGTTCATTTGATCAAAACAGTATTTTTTTAGTTTCTCTACCTTAACTTTGACTGATCATAAATCTTAGCACACATATCCATTTTAACTGATCTACCGCTTGTTTCAAATCTTAGGATGTGTATTTTAAGCATACCAAATTTCATGAGCAGAATCAATCGTTTGCCTCACTTTCACTTTGCCACTATTTTCATGGCT